CAATTGTTCATTTTTTTATGAATTAAAAAAAAAAATTTCATTCAAAAAAATAAAATGGTAGACCCCACTTGTAAATAATTACCAAATTTTTATTTCATAATAAAAATTAGATAACTTTTTACTTACAAAAATTATCAGAAAAAAAAAATTTCAATTTCCTTCAGTGATAATCATTAAGAATAATTAATCAACATAATCATTAGTATAATATTTTTTTTGTTACCTCTATTTACATATTATGTTTGTTTTTTGTGGATAACATACAAGAGAAAAGTGACAGAGGATTGTTACTAAATAATAAGTAATTTTTTTTTATATGTATATTTAACTGAATCCAAAGATCCTCGTATCATAATTTTCTTATAATCTATAAATAAATAAATACGTTTTTTAACATCACAAGACTATGTTTTACTTAATCATGCTTTAAGCTATTTTAATTTATCATAATAAATAAATTATTAAATTTTAATTCAATATTAATAATTAATTTAATATTATGCTAAAATATTAAGCACTAATTATCAAAATTAATGAAGAAAAAGCTTTAGACGACGCTGGATATATGATTACGATGCAAATATAATGAACTCAGTGGCTGCATAACAGTAGTGATGATTAATGATTATATTAATAGAATATTAAAATAATGGACTTTGGATAAAATTAAACCTTAAAATAATTCACTGAAAATTATCACGGTGATGGCTGATAATTTATTAATATTTTCATTTATTTTTGGTAAGAATCATACTTTTTTTTTATTATAATTTTATTTGCAAAACTGTAGCTTTTTTTTTTTTTAATTATTTTTTTTTTATTTTGTAAATGAACAAAATTATTTATACCACGTAAATTCTCTCTTGCATTCTTGAAATTTACAGGGTGGAGGTGGGTTAGTGCAACAGCTAAAAAAGAGCTACAGTCTGAGTGACCTGACAGGCGAGAAAGAGGATGAAAATCGAAATACATCAATGATGCACGACGAGACAGATATGATAGGTATAATTAAATTATTACATTACGTAATTAATTGAATAATTTCTATTTAATATTACTAGAGAATTGAGCGCGCTTTTGCCACCATGTTTATTATCGATAATTTAATTTATCAATATTTTTACAAATTTTATTCATTAATATTGAACCGTTGTCAAAGTAGTTACCTTAGCAACGAAAAGTGACAACAATGAAAAGGTCGCATAAGCTTTTTGATAGAAGATTTTATATATGTATGATATTTCTCATATTTATGAAATATATAAAATATATGAAAAAAATCGTGTTTGTATTCAAATGAAAGGTCTCGATGAGTGTAACTCTAGGATGAGTTTATATCGTTAAAAATATCATCAGTGGACAAAATATAACGGCATTTCTTAATTATTGACATTTTTTAAAATATAAGATCATCCTGATGTTACACTCATGGAGACCTTTCATTTGAATACAAACACGATTTTTTTCATATATTTTATATATATATGATATTTCTCATATTTATGAAATATATAAAATATATGAAAAAAGTCGTGTGGGTATTCAAATAAAAGGTCTCGATGAGTATAATTCCAGGATAAGTTTATATCGTTAAAAATATCATCAGTGGACAAAATACAACGTAGTTTCTTTATTTTTGACATTTTTTTAGATATAAGCTCATCCTGATGTCACGCTTATCGAGAGCTTTCATTTGAATACCCACACGAATTTTTTGTATATTTTATATATTTCACAAATATGAGAAATATCATATATATAAAATATATAGAAAAATTCATGTGGGTATTCAAATGAAAGCTCTCGATGAGCGTAACTCCAGGATGAGCTTATATCGTTAAAAATATCATCAGTGGACAAAATACAATGGCATTTTTTAATTATTGTCATTTTTTAAGATATAAGCTCATCCTGATGTTATCCTCATCGAGACCTTTCATTTGAGTACAAACACGATTTTTTTCGTATATATTTTATATATATGACATTTCTTATATTTATGAAATATATAAAATATATAAAAAATTTGTGTGGGTATTCAAATAAAAGGTCTCGATGAGTATATCTCCAGGATGAGCTTATATCGTTAAAAATATCATCAGAGGACAAAATACAACGTCGTTTCTTAATTATTGACATTTTTAAAAATATAAGCTCATCCCGATGTTACTCTCTTCAAAAGCTTCCATTTGAGTACCCACATGCATTTATATATATTTTTCATATATTTTATATATATATATATATATATATAAATATATAAAATATATGAAAAATTGATGTGGGTATTCAAATGGAAGGTCTCGATGAGCGTAATATCAAGATGAGCTTATATCGTTCTAAGTATCATTAGTAGACAAAATACAACGTCATTTCTTTATTATTGACTTTTTTTTAGCCATAAGCTCATCCTGATGTTACGCTCATCGAGACTTTTCATTTGAGTACACACACGATTTTTTCCATATATTTTATATATATATGATATTTCTGATATTTGTGAAATATAAAATATAAAAAAAAATTGATGTGGGTACTCAAATGAAAGCTCTCGACGAGTGTAACTCCAGGATAAGCTTATATCGTTAAAAATATCATTAGTATACAAAATACAACGTAATTTCTTTATTATTAACATTTTCTCAGATACAACCTGATAAATAAAAAAAACTAATAAATTAAATAATTATTAAAATAATAGCAGAACCTCGTCGAAGAGAAAATCCAGGACGCAGAGGGTACAGCCCACGTAGAACACAATCAAGCTGTAATCGCGTAGATATGTTTTTTTCTGAAGTAGACGTTGATGTAATACAACCTAGGCCTAGAGAACCGATAAGTAGTTTAAAGTATGCATACTCTTATTTTTATTTTATCATTTTTTTTTTTTTACACGGAAAATTAATTATTAATCTCTTGCAGTAATATACGGTCATCAGACGACATATCCAGCGGTTACAGCAGTGGAGAAGCCGTTCAAACTCACCGCATGACGCCACACACGGAAACGCTTTTAAGGACATCGAGTGTTGGAGCAAGAACGAGATCTTCAAAGCCTCGATCTACTGCTAAAAAATTACCCGAGGTTCGTAATCAATTAAACCCACGTCCAAGTATCATAAAAATACAAAATTACAAATTTTTATAAAAATTCAAACTTTATAAAATGTAAAAAAAAAAATAATTGTACGGATGATTTTTTTTTTTTAAACTATTTTATGGATTACTGGCCGATTAATGGTCAATTTCTCGTATTCAAAGGATGAAGAAGACACGTGTGAGTTAGTGGATCCTCAATTACCAGCTTTGTCTGTAATTACCGCTCACCAAAGTCTACAACTTATGCTGTATTTGTCACAAATGCACGGTAATGCACCTTTAAATTATCCGGGTCTTTTAAAAAATTTCTCTGGATCAATACAAGACTCTAATGCTAATGATAATGCTAATGGACTTCAAATTAATGAGGTCGAGTGTGATTATAAAAAGACTGATAGAGAATTTAAAGACCTGAGTATTGATTCTCACAGTGTTAAAGATATTGAAAAGCTTTCTATTACTAAAAATTTTAGTGAAGATGATAAAAATAAGGAAGAAAAAAAAAATTCTAATTTATCAAAATCTTCAGCAGAATTTGAAAAATTAAATAATCCTAAAATTAGTTCTGAAGAAAATTTGTCAAAATTAATTACAAGAAAATCTACTGAAGAAATTAATTTAGACGCTTCTAATTCACTTACTGAAGATAAAATAAAAAAATTATCTAGTGCAGATTCAAAATTAATTGAAAAAAATCACTTGATAAATTCTGCTACTTCTGAAAATTCGTCGAAATTAATTGCAACAAAATCTGCTGAAGAAATTAATTTAAACGCTTCTGATTCACTTACTGAAGATAAAATAAAAAAATTATCTAGTGGAGGTTCTAGAAAAGATCCAAAAAATATTCCAAAATTAATTGAAAAAAATGACTTGATAAATTCTACTACTTCTGAAGATTTGTTAAAATTAATTGCAACAAAATCTACTGATTTAATTAATTTAGACGGATTTAGTGGACTTACTGAAGATAAAATAAAAAAATTATCTAGTGCAGACTCTATAGAAGATCCAAAAAATCTGACAAAATTAATTGAAAAAAATGACTTGATAAATTCTACTTCTGAAAAATTAAAGAAATTTTCTTCAGATAATTCATCATTATCTATTCCTAAAGAAGTGAAAAAATTATCTAGCTCACATGAAATTCTAAAAGTAACTAGTGAAGAAAAATTACCTTGTTCTTCAATTTCAAATGTCGACATTACAAAAATAACTGATGAAATATGCCAGGAAAAATTTAAAGAATTAAAAAGACTGTTAAATACCGCTCATGAAGCGGTGACAAGTATTGTTCATCCGCCTCCGAATGAAGGAAGAGATTCAACGTACTTGGAAGTTAAAAGTAATTCAAAAAGCAGTCTCCTGTCATCACCAAGTGTGTCGCGAAGCAGTTCTGATTGCGATCGTGCTGGTAAATACAATAAAAAACCTGCACCGAGAGTCCCTTGCTCAAAAAGTCAATTAAATTCAGATAATGATCCTGAAGAAGAAACGGATATCGAACAAGCATTAAAAGCAACACTCGTTATTAAAACTGGTACAGTAAAGACCTTCACCAATGTTAATAACACAAAAAATGTATTTTTTACTCATCCTACTACTTCTCATCGTCACTCATCTCCATCTGTATCTAAAAATAATAAAAAAAAAAAAAGTTTGTCGAGATTTTTAGCAATTCCACGGAATTTATTTGGCAATAAGGACAAAAGCGGAGTTAATTCAAGATCTGAATCTTCGAGATCACGTTCGCCCAGTGTTAGCTCACAAGATTATGCAGCTAATAATAGCAATGATAATCAAGACAGTACGAATAATACTGATAATAATAATCCAGATGTTGAAGATATTTTATTTAAAACTGTTATTGGTGACCAGACTATCACTTCTGATACTTACATTGATTTTCGTACTGACAGTCTTGACCAATGTGATCAAAGTAAATTGAGTAATGATGAAAATCATGTTGATAAAGAATAAATAAAGTTTTTTCATTGGGAAAATTAATAATTATTTGGTTTGTTTGAGTCTTTGTTGAGAGTGAGAGTGAACCACAAAACATATTATGTGTTGCACTAATTCATTATTATTATTATTTCTCATTAATTAATTCATTTAATTATGCTTGTTTTGCGTTAACAATGTGTGTTTTAAGTGTGTAACAGACAAAGATGTTCTAATTGCAATAAAAGTAGAAAGTCTTTATTATTGAGAATAATTTGGGTAATTATTTACAAGTGGGCTCTACCACACAATAAAAAATTTTGTGTTAAAAATTTTTATGTTAAACATTTAACACTTTTATGTGTAAATTTAACATTTATTCTGTTAAATCAACAGAAAAGAGTTAAATATTTAATAAATAAATTTTGAACACTAAATTTTTTGACGCAAAATTTTTTACTGTGCATTTTAATTTTCATTTTTTTGAATGAAATTTTTTTTAGAAAATTTTGATATATTTTTTTTGAAATACATATAATAAAAAAATGAACAATTAAAAAAAAAAAGTGTACCATAATTTGAACAAATTTCTAAAATAATTTATAAATTTTTTACACGGAAAAAAAGTAAACTGTAAAATTCAGAGATTCCGGTTAATTTTTATAATTTCAAATAGTACAGCGGACATCGGGGTAGCAAAAAATGTAAATATTACAAAACTTAATGTGAAAAATGTGAAAGCCACAATTTATAATTTAATATCGAAAATGTGATTATTAATTGTCACTATAGTTAATAACGATTCTCTTATCTTAAAAAATTAGTTTCAAGCACTGAGAAAAAAAATTTTTTGTCCAGAAAAAAAATTTCAATATCTATCATGATAATAAACATTTTAATGTTGGCATTAATTTTGATGGATTAATAAAGAATAATACTAAAGATTCTCAAGAATAATACGTTTTTTTTCTCAGTGAACAGTAAAAATTACTGTTTCAATATATAGTCTATACTATAAGGACAAGAGGAAGGTCTCACACTTGGGGAATTTATCATTTGAAACAGTAAAAATTCTACTCTTAAAATATATATTTTACCAGCCCAAGCAAGTCAGTAATTATTATAGTTTGATTTATAGCGTTGCGTTTAAAATTTACCATCTGTACTTTGTAAATATTGACGTTGCTTGTATAGAAAATTTAGTAACTGTAGTTTATATTTTTTACATATCATGCGATCATTTTTGAGGAACGAAATGATAAATATCGACGGTCTAATTAGCAATTGGTCTGACTCCTTATTTTTTAGAAGGTGATTTTTTAACATTTTGATGTAGCAATAGTGTTACTATAAATTATTTGAATAATCAAAACCAAAATATTATACCTTTATTAGATATTAAATTGTTTTTTACAGTCATAATAAATTTTGAACAATTTTTTTTTTTTTCCGTACAAATGGAAGATTTTTTAAAATGGAGTTAAACAATTTGCTAATTAGAACGTCGATATCAAAGTCAAAATTTTTAATTATTATACTTTAACATTTTGGACTTTTATATAGCGAATATTACTGTTTGAAATAGTATTTTCTTCCGTGTAAATAATGAATTGTAGCATTTAAATGATAAATATTATAAAGTGATTGTTAAAATCACGATTTTACTCTTTGAAATGGTAAATTTTTTCCAGTTGATTATGACTAATTATAAATCAACTATTATTTATTACAGTTTACTTTTTTCCTTGAAGAAAATTGTGATAATCAACTTTTTTTTTTATTGTTTATTTTTTATGTAATTTTCAAAAAAAAAAGATAAAATAGAAATTTTATCCAAAAACAAGAGCCAAAATTTTTTCCAACTTTTTTGAAGGCAAAAAAGTTATCAAAATCTTTTTTTTTTTTTTTTTTTTCACGATATTTTTTTATTATAAATCGGCTGTAAAAAAAATCAGAATAAAAAAAATTAAAAAAAAAGGTTTGACCCTACTTGTAAATAATTACTATAATTTGTGTTGCTTATAATTAAAAATAAACAAGCAATTTTTTTTAAAATTAATTTATATAAATAATATTGAATTGTTTTTTTTTTTTTTTAATTTTCTAGATAACAAGTTTTGCAACTTTACCACGAAGTAAAAAACCAACGAAGAAAAAGGTAGCATGAAATTTAATCACTGCTGATCACATAAAAGAAGAAGAAGGATTAATCGCATCTAAATAAAAGCTATTGCCTTTGCATCTGAAATTTCTATTACATCGTCAATCATCATGATCATAATCATTAGTCATTAACAAATAGTATTATCATCCGGTTGGCAATGTGATTAGCAGCATTATAAGATGAATTAATACCAGAGCCAAAACGCTTAATTAGCGTCTAGCTTAATAGTCTCTACTCGATTGATTATTTTTTATTTCAATCGGATTTTTGCAAGGTAAAAGAAAGATAATTGTACGTGTTGAATAATTCAACTTTGTTGAAGAAAAAGAAAATGATTAATTAAATGAAAGGTTGAAAGGCTTTTTTCAAAGCCTTTAATTGTTAATTTATTTATTCAATATTGAATTTGAAATTGTTGTTTACATTTTATGTGCGTAAATTGTAGTGACTACATAATTATAAAATAATTTTTTTTTTTATATAAAAAAAATATTAAAGAGTAGAAATTTTATTTGAATTTTTTAATATGAAAATTAATGATTAAATTTATTTTTAAATAAATTTTTTATTAAAGTTTGCTTTTAAAATTTTAATAAGTCTATTACTTAGATAAATATTTTTCGGATTAATAAATATTATCTTAAATAAAGATAATGCAATAAAGATGAATTTAAAAAAATAAATAATAAAAAAGCCAAGGAATTTTTTTTTAGATTATAGAATGTGGTCATTATTTAATATATAAATGTAACGATATGTTCTTCTGCTTTATAAAGTATTTTTATTATCCGTAAAATTGTAAAGATTAAGATAAATATTTGTGATATCGATATATTAATAATTATTGAATTAAATTGAGATTAAAAAAATAAAACTATGACATTTGAATCTAGAAAAAAAATTAGATAATCAGGCTCTAGTCATGTAATTATTAGCAAACTTCGATTAGATAGACTGTACTGAATTTTTTTTTTTTTATAAATAACATATTTATTATCAATAATTATAATAATAAAGATACTCATAGATGTGTTAAATTCGTGTTATTTTATAAACTAATTGCTGTACGTAAAGTGTATGCTCTCTTGTGCCTGTTGTGCAAAAATAATTAACTTTAAATAATTTTTACCCTTTTCAATGAATATTTATTAATAATACGGCACAAAAATTGCATTATTATTAATTATATAATTATTTTTTAAGCTATTTATTAACAAATAGAAAAAGATGTTGATTTATGGCTAATTATTCTATTGTACGCACAACTAACATTTTTATCAAATAATTATTTAACGATAAAATAATTCATGTATATACATAACATATATATTTTATAACCATACATTGAATCGATTAATTAATTATTATTTTAAAATAATATTTCAAAAAAGCACATATTTTAGTTATTAACAAATGTTTTATTTAATTTTAGCTTTGTTAAAAAAAATTTTTTTATCAAAAAAAAATATTTTTTTTTTTTTACAGTGAAAAGGGGCATGAATTATTAACTACTTTTACGGATTTTAATTAATTTTATTATAATTATTATTATTAATAACAATGAACTAAATGTTATGAACTGATTGTATCAATTGTGACAGAACTTGTATTATCAACAAATGCGTGAATTGTTAATTAATAAAAAAAGAAACTACTAAAAGTAAATTAATAAATTTATTTCATCACCATTAATATTTTATTAGTGAATAAATAAATAAAATTTTAATAATTAACTTGAAATACTTATCGAATAACCAATTAACAAAATAAAGAATCCGCGATAATAAAGACTTTTAATATAATAATATAAGTTTATTTGCTAGCTCAAAAGCTACTTTAAAATTTCACTGAATTTAATCATAAAATTTTGTTTTAAGTTATAATTTAATTTGTTACATTCAATTTTAATTAAATCATAAATAGTTTAATATCTTTTCTAAGATTTCTTTTAAATTACTCCAACACAGAAAAAAAATTCACTTGAATCAAGTAAATAATTATGAAGAACTTAATCTTCTTCATTTGAATAGAAAAATTCTTAAACTAAGAAATTTTTCTCTATTCAAGTATACTTTACTTAATTTAAAAATTTTTTGTCTTGATTTAAGACAATAAATTTGACATTTTTGGAGAACCAGCAAATAAAATAAAAAGTGAAGCAAAAAGGGTGATTCTAAAATAATAACATTCCAGGTGTACAAATAGTGATTATAAACTATTAGATATATTATATCAATTAGTGATGACCAATTATTAATCACTAAAAAATTTTTTTATAGTTTTATTTTTCTCTTCTTAAAAATTTTTTTTTTAATCATTTCTTTCAACTTTTAAAAAATTTCTTAAATCTATCTTCTCTTCAAAGGTTCTATTTATTATATAAAATCATTACTAAACATTTTACACATGAAAGTGTAACATATTGTAAAAAAATGAAAAAAAAATTAATTTTCATAAAAAAAATTTTAATTATTAACTGCATTTTTTATGACCCTGAAATTTATTTTTAACTATTGTTGAACTTATAATCATGACAATAAATAGGTATTCCAGATTTTATTTAATTTTTAGAACATCGAAAATAATTCATGAAAATTTTTCACCGCATAATCTGATTCAAATCGGTCAAATACTGTAGTAGAGTATCCGAGAGGCGACTACATGTTTTAGTTAACAAAAAAGTTTCTATTAGGTTAATCTTGCCAAATTAAATTCTGAAGTAGTCTTTAATAGTTTCTTAACAAATCTCTCAATAAGATTTGACAAAAACAATCAAGTAAATACCAATTCAACGACCGGTCAGATACTGGCACAATAAAACACCGTTGTACCATCAATAAATGACTTCGGTCATCTATTGGAACCTGCTATTTTTCAAAACACCAGTAATTGACCGCATGCACAATTGTAAGTTTCTAACCTATATAAAATAAAAATATAAATATGTTTACGTGATAATATTATGTTTACATAAGTGTGCCCTAGAAATATCTCCAAGTATATACAACTATTGACGATAATGGCTACAGTTTCTGATACGGTAATTATTTTGTTAAGTAATACATATTTTTAAAAAGTATTTATGTCTGTCACACGTATCCTTCTTGGCTTCATGAAACCTAACATTGTTTTTGTACAACAAGCAAGATTATTAAACATAAAATGTTTGATAAAATTATATTCGTCGTCAAAATTGTATACAAAAAAATTATGATCGACAATTTACAGTTGGTGTTAATGATCTTAATATTATTTTACAGGCCTTACCAATTACTTGGGTTTATCATGACATCAAAGACGACTGCAGCATACACGGCAGTATTAAATCATTTTTCACAAGTGTTTGCTCCTCATATCAATCCATCATCTGTTTCTGTCGATTTTGAAGAGGGATTATCTTCAGCTATAGATGCAATTTTTCCCAATGCTAAGATTATCCGGTGTTACTTTCATTTTTTAAATGTAAGTTTTTTTAAATTGTTTTTTTTTTTTTTCGTTAAATAATTTGATAACTTACTAATTTGTACGCAGGCTTCAATGAGAAACTTGAAAAAAAAAAAAAGGAACGAAATTTATGGAGCGATTAAAAGGCTGGCGAGAAAGTAAAATTTTTTATAGAAAATTGATGGGAATTCCTCTTCTGCCTCAGGAACACATGGTTTTAGCTTTCAACTGGTTACTGACAAATACAGTAGATGATGTCAAAGAACAGTTCACTGACTTCATAAAGTATTTTGAAGGTTGGTGGATAAAGCGCGTAACACCAATAAAACTTAGTGTATTTTTAACGGAAAAGGTAACGAATAATGAAATAGAAGCTTATCATCGAGTTCTACGGAAAAGAATGGGCAGTCACCCCTCAATTTGGCAGCTTATGGGTAATGAAAAGTTTTAATAACAATCGCAGTTATGCAAATATCGCTTAAATAGTTAAGAATATGAAATTTATGACTGCGCAATTTTTTTTTTCCAGAATACTTAAAAAACCTCCAAAGTGTTACTCGAAGTGAGTGGGGTTCGTTGATGATGGGTTTATCTATTCGACAGCCAACGGAAAACAAGTATATTAATAAAAAAGAGATACTTCATCGGGCCTGGAAGATGTATCAGGATAAGTTACTTGATATACCAAAATTTCTGGCATGTGCATACAACTTTTTAGGCTGTCTTCAAAAATTTACTTATATCACTGAATCTTTGCATGTTGATTTATTAAACGTGAATTTATATGTAATTTTATTAATAATTATTTTAAATAACATCACATATCAAAAACTTGTATATTTAAGGTTCATATAAACTTAAAATTTTTAATTTTTAGCGTATAATAATTTAATTACGATCAATTGAAATGCCAAACATCCTTAATCGGTCAACTACTGGTGCATTTACCCTATACAAAATAAAATTTGTTGTAAATTGCCGAGGGCATTTCTTTAAAAATAAATTTAGTGTCTCTAATATTATTATTAAAGATATTTTTTCGTGACCGAATTGGATATTATATATAATTAAACTTTAATGGCATGAAACTTTAATTTTAAAAATAAATAAATAAAATCTTCAAAATTATTTTTTCTGGTTCAAGAATTTTTCTCTTAATTCAACTTAATTTTTTTTTTTTTTCTGCGAAGGTATTTGAATTCTTAGTATCACCAGTCAATTTATTTATTTATTAAATAAAATTAAAACCCTGATAACTTAAAATTTTCTTTGTTGTCTTTGTTATCTTCTTTGTCAAAACTAAATTATCTTGGTCTCATATTATAATTATGACAAGATTTATGAATTTCTGTATTCAAATATTCAGATGTTAACTTATTAATCATATATTATACTTTAATCTATCTTCAATAGACATAAAACCTAAAATATCTAGCATGTTTATTATCGGTGTATATTTATTTACCCTAAGAATGATCCTCATTGGTATGTTTTGGCTCTTTTGAAAAAAATTCATACATTCCTTTTACAATCATTGCAGTCGTTGATCAGTCGTGAAACCGAACGGATATATTGTCTTTCTACTTCATTAAAATAACTCATAAATTAAACAAAATTTATTCTTTAGTTATATATTATAAATTAACGTATAATTAATGTTTAAATATTATTGACCTTCATAAATTTTTTTTTATTTATAATTCATTCATTTCATTTATATCAGTGTAAATTTTTAATAAATTATTAATTTATACGCGTTTAATTTTTTTGTTGATAGAAAAAAATATATCTAAAATGATTGAACTATTTTTTATTTTTAATTTATTATTTAATAGCTATTTTATAAGTTTTGTATTTTTATCACTTTTATTTTATTTATATTTAACAAGCACATTCAATTATTGGTCCGTTCGCGGTATTTCGTATAAAAAGCCAACAATAATAGTTGGTAATTTCTTTGATTCGTTGCTATTTCGCAAATCGCTACCAGAAGTGATGGAAGAAATGTACAATTGGTTTGATTCACCTTTTTTTGGTGTATTTCGTGTCCGTACGCCGATTTTAATAATCCGAGATCCTGAATTGATAAAATCCGTGCTTGTGAAAGACTTCAAGTATTTTGTAAATCGGGGAATTCCAACAAATTCCCAGGACCCGTTATCCTGCCATCTGTTCAATTTGGAGGGATATAAATGGAGAAACTTGAGATCTAAATTAACTCCAGTATTTACGGCGGGAAAAATAAAAAAAATGGTTATATTGTTACAAGAGTGTTCAGGTATTTTTGAAAAATTAATTAACGAAGCATCAATTAGTAATGCTCCGGTAGACGTACGTGAATTGGCGGTAAATTTTATGATTGACGTCATTGGAAGCTGTGCATTTGGAATACAAATAAATGCACTGACTGAAAAAGAATCGGAGTTTCATCGTGCGGCTAGGAAAATATCAAAGCCAGGATTTAAAAGTCAGCTTTGGAGGATGTTACGCACATCTATTCCACAAGTTTATAAATTTTTGGGAACTCAAATTACTGATCCAAATGTTACTAAATTTTTCCAAGACGTTGTTAAGCAAATGGTTGCTTTGCGTGAGAGCGATGATTCTCAGCAAAGAAGAAATGATTTTATGGATTTGTTGGTTGAGTTAAAATGCAAAAATCAGTCTAATCGTCATTCTGATCAAGATAATATAGGTAAATTTTTATGATAATGAAATTAATTGATATCTGCCAGTTTTTTTTATTTTTATAAATGAAAATTAAGTTAGCCGATATCTAAAAATTTTAAAAATTTTTTATGTTGAAATTGTTTAAAAAAAAAATTTGATAAACTATAAGTGCAATTTTTCAAAAATATTTTTTAGTTCTAATTCAATAAATGGAAAAAAATCAAAAATGATGAAAAATGTCGGCTCACTTTAGTATTATTTTTTTTTATAACGAAATTATGGGTAATTATTTGCAATTCAGTTCAACCCTATGTTGGGCCATGACTAGAAAAAAAAATTAACATTTTCAAATTTTTTTTTTATTCTGCTTGTTTTTATGGCGTATTTATGATAAAAAAATGTTGTGAAAGGAAAAAATAAAGATTTCGATAGCTTTTTTGACTTTAAAAGTTGGAAAAAATTTTGGCTTTCATGTTTTTGAATAAAATTTCTATTTTAAACTTTTTAAATGTTGTTGATATTTATTTTTTTGAAAAGTATATAAAAAAACGAACAATTTAAAAAAAAAAGATTGATCAATTTGATAGAAAAAAAAAAAAATAAATTAACATGGGGTTGACCCCATTTGTAAATAATTACCAAATTATAGCACTAAAGTTGAAATTGATAAATTGATGAGTATTTTGATAATTTTATAGCAACAAAATTGTTATGAAAAAAAATTTAATAAAAAAGTTTCACATGTAATAATTGAAAAAATTATTAGAGAAATTTTTTTTCAATATTTTTTATTGTCTTAATTGTTATAAGAATTTAAAAATTGATAGTTGTCAGCTAATTTTAGTATAATAAAATCATGAAAAAAATTTCACATCTGAAAATTAAAAAAACTTTCTTTTTATAATTAATTTGTAAAAATAATGTCAGATTTCTACCAATTTCAGTTTGATTAAATTTTTTTATAGTAGATAATAAAAAATATTTCACTATTGATTATAAAATTTTTTTATTTTTTTTTAATTTTTCTAAATATTAATAAATTTTTTTTTACTTCGCAGAATTAGATGAAAATATGATAGCCGCTCAAGCGTATGTATTCTTCGTCGCTGGATATGAGACATCATCTAACACCATAGCATTTTGTCTTTACGAGTTGGGGATAAATATTGAAATTCAAAAAAAAGTAAAAGCCGAAATTGCCTTAGTGATGCAAAAACACAAAGAACTGACTTATGAGTCAATACAAAAGATGACCTATCTCGAAAAAGTTATTCTAGGTAATTTAATTAAAAATTTTTAATAAAACAATACAACTCAAATGTAAATTTTAATAATATAAATCTAAATAAAACATATTTAAATAATTTACAGAAACACTCCGCAAATATCCGCCGGGTGCAATGATCTCCCGAAAATGTGAGGAGACATACGAAATTCCCGGTACAATACTAAGAATACCAGCTGGAATGAGAGTAATGATTCCAGTTTACGGAATACATCACGATCCAAATTATTATCCAGAGCCAGATAAGTTTAATCCAGATAGATTTGATGACAATAATATTCAAAACTCTTACACATTTCTACCATTTGGCGAGGGACCACGCGGTTGTATTGGTATGACCCTCATTATAATCAACCTATTCTTATTCTTAAGCGGGGTAATACGTGTAGAAAGATGTTTTCATGCTGATTTTTTATTAATTTTTTTAAGGTATGAAAATGAATGTTATTTATTGAAACTATCAGGTTATTTTATACATTTATTTATATTTTTCCATATTTTACGACAATATAACTTAAAAAGTCGCGGAGATATCAGCTGATATGATACACATCGTAGGTTGTCTTCTGATTTAGCAGTTGGTGTGCACTTTAGAAGCCACAATTTTTATCTGAAATCAATGGCACAGAAAAAAGTAATTTTCCTGTGCCATTGATTTCAGATAAAAATTGTGGCTTCCATACTGCACACCAACTGCTAAGTCAGAAGACAACCTACGATGTCTATCAGCTGGTATCTCTGCTATTGTTGTTTAATACGAAAAATACTCATAACTATATGTATAAAATAACATGATAGTTTTAATAAATAATATTAATTTTTTATACCTTAAAAAAATTAATGAAAATTAGCATGGAAACGGCCTTATACACGTATTTCTCCCCTTAATTTCTTATTTATTAATTACAATAAAAACAATGTATATTTTTTTTTCATTTAAAAGGTATGCGGTTTGCCATGCTATCAATGAAATTTGGACTGATATCTTTTTTGAAAAATCATCGAGTTGAACTTTCCGATAAAACAACTAATCCAATAAAATTTAGTGTACGAAGTATGGTTACAACTAGTGAAAATGGTTTGTGGTTAAATATTCACCGTGATAATTAATAAATACCATCTGTAAATTTATTTATACGTACATATTTTTTTTTTATAATAAAAAATTTGAGAAAAAACACTACTAATATTCGTATCTAATAATATTAATTTATCGAATATAAAAGTACTTATCTAGTTTAGATATAATAATTATGTACACGATTTTTCTATTATTATTATGTATATAATACATTATAAACGTCGAAGAATTTTAATTTATATTAAGCGTAAAAAAATACAAACTCTTAATATTTTTTTTTTTCATACGTCGACGATTAATCAACACATTGAAAGACTACGGTTATTTAAATAATTATGTAAATAAAGTATCTTCCATGTGTGGTCTGTAAGTAACAGCTATGCTGGATTTGATCTTCTATTTCTTCGTGACGAGCCAACAAATAGTGGTCGTGGCTTATATAAATCATCACTTGTATAACGTTGTTTATTTTTTAATCTAAATGATAAAATTTAATAAATTATTACTGAAAAAAATAATAATAAAATTTTCATATAATCTGCATTGAAAATACGAGTTTCAATGCCTGTTGAGCCAACCGAAACTAGACAATTTCAGTTTTCAGACCAATGCAACTGTTGCCGAGCAGGAATCAATCATTTCTTCCAAAAAATTATGACTTTCTCCCCGTAAGATAAACTTGCATTTTTTGTTTATTTTATACCTTTATAATTGTCATTTTAACCGTTAATTGTACTGACACTTTATAATTCTGTTACAAAGCATAAATAAGAATGACAAAAAAAAAAAAAAAAAAAAAAAACTATTCAATTTACGAATAATGTTCAATAAAAAATAAACCATTACTTTCTTGAATTGTACTTTTTAATTTTCTTATAAATTTGATAATAATATGGTATTTTTGCTATTCGTTTGAAACTATCTAGTTTTGGTTGGTTCCAGACATTGAAACTAGCATTTTTAATTTAATGCAACTTATATAAAAAATATAATGTGTAGCGCGGGGAATGAAACACCATTTCAGATCAAGTGATGTCAGGCAATTTCACTCTGGTCTGAAATCGTTTTGTTTTATCCCTAGTCACACAATATACTATTAAAGGGGATAGTCACTGCGAAATTTCAAAAAAAAAAAAAAAATTTTTTTTTATTAAATCAAAGTTTATACATTCAAAAATATGTATCTAGAATTTTATATGAAAATTCCGAATATTTTTCGAGTTATGCTACCTTTTTTTTGAAGTGGTGGATCTGTAATTTGAATAAATAAATATGAACCGATTTGCAACTTTTTTTTTCCGTATTCGTCTATTTAGTAGCTATAGTTGCACGTAGAGGATTTTGAAAATTTTAATTTTTAAGATTTTTTAGAGCTGTTTAAATACAAAAACATGAGAAAAAAAAAAAAAAACGAAAAAATTTTTAATATTTCGCCATTTTTTTTAAATCCAAATTTTCAAAATCCCCTACGTGCAACAATAACCACATGTATGCAGATTACAACGCGGTTTCGTTTTTTTGTTTTAGATAATCCGTTTTTGAGTTAGAGATCCCACCGTGGTGAGGGAAATTTTTTCGGTACTCCACAAAAATGCTTATAACTTTGCAACAACATGGTATTTTTTAATAAAAATTTAGGAGAATAATCTTTAATGTATAAGTACTTTATAAAACAAAAAAAAACCCGATCCCCAAATTCTTTTATTATCCCAGTCAAAAAAATTCCCGAAAATCACCTATTTTTTCTATCCTCACAGTGGCTATCCTCCTTAAATTAATGAACAAAAAACATTACCTTTTGTCGTCTTTATCTTTATGATTAGCTGAAATTTTGTCACTAGTAGCAGAAACATCGCTTTCTGGACTCAAAGGCATTATAAAATCATCATTAGGACTTGAAGAGCTGACACTAGGTCTCTGTCTTTTGGGCCTTCCTAATTTTTTCTTTCCTAGCCCAGTTTCTTTATCCTTCTCACTCTTTTTATCTTTCTCTAGATCACCAACAACAGAATCCATATCTTTGTGACCATCATTATTATTATCCAAATTTAATACAATATCCGACAGCGGACTAGTAGAATGCTTACGTTTTAATTGAGGAGGTGCCATAGTAGCTAGCGTAGATTCCTGATTTTCTTCATTTGGCACCAATTGTTCAATTTTTTCATCATGATCATCAACATCATCATCATCATCATTATTATCTTCATCATTATTAACATAATTATCATCCTCACCATAGTAACTAATATTCTGTGACTTGAGAAACTGCCTAAACCTAATCAATCTTTCGCTTTCTTCATCAGGTTCAAAATACAAGCAATCTTCATCCTCAGAATCACTAATTTTTTTCTCCTCAATATTGCAATCATTTACCTCAACTATATGACTTTCCAACGTACCATCAGCTTCTTTATTTTCATATCTATCAGTATCCATAATTTTATCTACAATCATTTCATTCAACGACTCTCTAATCGACATTTCCATCTCCGACAAATTAGATTTACAATTATCAATATTTATTTTAAAAATATTCTCTCCCTCCATAATAACACCCGAGGACTGTTCTAACTTTAAATTAATATCCGCATCATCCGGATAAGGTTCATTTTCATCATCATCATCATCCTGAGGTTCATAAACTTCAATTATCTGAACTCTTTCATTCTCAGGAACTATTTTAACAACTTGCTCATTATTATTCGCAATTTCTCTAAAATTTTCAAGCTTTGGCTTTTTAATTTCACCTACTAAACTATCAGTACCTTCAGTATGCAACGGGCGCTTTTTTAATGGAAGACTTATTTCACTTTGACCTAAATCAACTCGCTTAGCATTGACCCCCGATCCATTATCTCGATCAACCTTTACATCTTCTTGAACAGCATCAACATTATGACACTCTTCCATCTGAGCTTCATCAACACCATCAGAAGTTTCACTACTAGAATTACTTGTATTACCCGTTTCTTTAAGACCTGAATTAGGCTTTGAAGAAGTTGATGACCCAGGACAGGAATTTTTGCTGCTTTTACTATTAGACCCACTTGATCCGTCTCGATCAGATGATCTACGATCATTAGAGCTTTTATGAAGACTCGAATGATCATCTTTAGACTTGGATTTTTTTTCCTCACGGCGCTTCTTATCTTTATCCTTTTCTTTCTCTGCAGAACTTTTATCAGAGCTCTTTCGTGAGTCATCGGATCTAGATTCTTTGCGTTTTTGTGACTTAGAATCTTTATCTTTATCATCCTTTGAACTCCGTTTTCCATCAGACTCACCCTGACTACGACTCTTATCCCTAGAATGTCTGTCATCCTTTTTTTTATCATGACTAGACTTAGAATCGTCTCTCTTGCTCCTGCTACTAGACTCATGCCGATGACTTCTAGAAGAAGAACTTGAGCTGCGATGTTCTTTAGAATCCCTCCGATCTTTAGAATCTTTGCTTGAATCTTTAGAGTCTTTTTTATCCTTAGAATCTCTCGACCTATGACCATCTTTATCTTTATTCAATTTTTCCTTTTCCGTCAACTCTTTTTTTTCCCTTAATTCCCGTATTTTTTCTTTATAAATATCTTTCAAATCTTTTGATTCTTTTCCCGAAGAATTTGTTTTTTCATCTTTAATTTTATCCTTAGAATCTTTATCTTTTTCTTTGGATTTATCACTAGAGTCTCGACTGCTTCTACTTTTATCCTTATCACTCTTAGAATCAGTAGATTTTTTTTTATAATCACGATCACGATGACTACGTGAGTCCCGTGAATCAGAACGTTCTTTAGAAGATTTAAATTTGTAATCATTTTTTTCTCGTTCTTTTGACGAACTACTTTTTGAATTTTTATTTGAATCTTTAGATTCAATAACTTTATCTTTACTTTTATCATCATAATTTTTGTCTACTGACTTTTCTTCTTTAGGAGGATCCGGTACAGGAGTCGATGCTTGATTAGAAGATCCAAAATCAGTAACAATAGACAACCGAGAGTCCGAAGATACTTTTGAAAATTGAGAATCTTGATTACTAAAATCAAAATGATCGCGAGAAAATTCATTTATCTGAAAATCTGGACTGCGTGACCGATGACTTGTTAGCTCAGATATTCCAGACAAATGTGAGTCATTAGAAACATTTGATTCATGGAAATTAATTACATCAATAGGTTCAAAAACAGGACTGTCTTCTTCCTCTTCTTCGGTTTTTTCATCAGACTTTATCGAGTCATTTAAACCAATATCTACTAATGGAGGTGTTGAACAAGTCGGTTTTTCTTCTTCCATACTCTGAATTAAATCAGTTCCGTTAACTTCATTTTCCACTTCCTTACAATCTTTTTCTTCTTTTTCTTCAATGCTTTTTTCATAATCGGTAACATGGAAACTTTCACCATTATCAACTTGATCATTATTATCTTTATCATTATTGGAAAGTTCTAGATCATCTATTGAGTCAAGAGACACATCTTTTAAACTATTTTTATCAGACTCAGGTGATACTGGGTCTAAATCAATTGGTAATAGATCTTTTATTGAAGTTCCACCATTCTTTTCACGCTTAGGTTTCTCTAAACCTAAATACTTATAAACGACGTCTTCTACTTGTGGTAAAAAAACAGAGTATATTTTTGGATTAACTACTTGGTCAACAATACGTTCAACACCAGCGTCTAAGTATGCTGCGTCTGATATATGTTTACGCAGTGTTTCACGCAATTGATTCTTATTTAAGTCAGCTTTCCAAGTTTGTTTTGATAGAAATGAATTTACTGATCCTTCTACACGTGTCCTTAAATTTTGATAAGCTGGCTAGAAATTAAATAATTTGGTTTTTTAATTATCTATTTTTCGTTTGTGTAATCAATATTTTATTAAATATTTATGACAACAGACATAAAAAATGTGCTTAAAATTTAATGGCAATTAAATTATTATAAAAAAAATTTTATTAAAAAATTTCACATGTGAAAATTAATAAAAATTACAATTGAAAATTTTTACAAGCATTTTTTTATTGTAATTGATTTGTGATAAAAATTTTTAAAATTGACAGCAGACGGCTAACTTCAGTAGTATAAATATTTAGGAGAAAATTAAATGATAAATTTAGTAGATATTTAATAATTTTTAGAATTTTTTTTTTAACAAACAAATTGTGGCAAAAAAAAAAAAAATATAAAAAAAATTGACATGTAGAAATTTTAAAAAATCAAAAATGCAATTTTTTAAAAATAATTTTTTGGAACAAATTTTTTTGATAAAAAATTTTCTGGTGACTGCTAACTTTAATGTCATAAAATTAAGTTAGCGGATGTTTAATAATTTTAAGAATTTTGGTGAAAATAAATTATTGCAAAAAGAAATTGACATGCAGAAATTTAAAAAAATAAAAAATGCAATTTTTTAAAAATAATTTATTTGTTAAAAAAAAATTAAAAAATAGTCAAGTGACTGCTAACTTTAATGTCATTAAATATTTATATTGATAAAAAAAAATTAATGACAAAATATTGGAAATTAAAATTTAAAATTCAGATGACAATTTTTTAAATTAATAATATACAATTAATTATTATTAATTTATTACCTTGGTATCGACGTCAGCGAGAGCATCTTTACGAAATTGATCAAATATTCCTTGAGATTTAACCTCACCGACGATGTGATCAATCAAACGTGGGTCACCAGGTAAAAGTGTGCTGCCTAATCCCATTTCCATTTTAATGATTTATATTTTCTATAATTATATTAAGTAGAATTTTTTAGAAAAGTTATTATTGTTTTGACTTGAAGTTAACCAAACTGATGTAATCCACTGGTAGTTGCCATTATACTACTGTTTTTGCTGTCTAAATTTTTTGGTGTTACAATCTTTCACCACTAGAGTGCGCTTTAGTCGAATGAAAAAAAAACCGCGAAAATTCAAATTTATAAATTTATGATATTAAAAGTAGATCCCAAGCGGCACAAATTTTTTTTTTGTTAATGTTTTGTTGAATTTAAGTTGACGATTATTAATTTTTTAATTTCTTCTTGAGTGAAATCTACCAAAAAGTCAACTTTTTTTTTTTTTGTGACGCTTGGGATGTTTTAAAAGTTTTTCATCAATTAAATTAGAAGTAAAAAAATATTTTTTAAAAAAACTAAGTATAATTTTTAACATAATTTCTTCAAAAAAAAAATTTTTTTAATTTTTAGATGAATTGAATTGAATTTATTGATTTATGCCAAAGCCTTCACTGGCTAGATGGCAATAGAAAAATATACATGTTGTGAATACAATAAATTTTTAAATTTTTTGATTTAAACATAATAATTATAATTTATATATAATAATACATAATAAGATATTAGAAGAAGTAATATTGCTTATATACTAATTTTGAAGAAACAATTTAAGTGAACTTAAGATGACTAATTTAATTTTTATTAAAAATTAAATATCAAATGTGATAAAAAAAAAAATGTTACTATAGTTAGCTGAGCACTGTTGATTTAAAAAAAAAAAAAAAACTCAATTATAATAAAAAAAGAAAACAATTTTCCACAAATAATTTTTTTAATAACCCAAGCCACACAAAAATTTTTTTCGTAATATTTTGTTGTTCAATTTAACAATTATTAGATTTTAACTTCTTAAATAAAATTTACCATAGAATCAGGAGTTTTTTATGTGATTTTATGTGATAGAAAATTTCTAGTATTAATTAACTTCAGTGTTTTAAAAAAAAATACTTCAACAATTACAGCAACTTTCCAAATAATTAAATAAATATTAATCAATGAGACAATAAAAATACATAATTAAATATTTAAATAATTATTTTTATCATTTCACCAATTACAATAAAAAAAGTATAGATGCTACAATATTCACCATATATTGTTTGTAAAAAAAAATTACTTAATATTTATACAATACTAAATATAAACTAATAGTTTGAAAATCAATTATACTTGATTGTCTATCATATCATCTTCTATAGATTCAAAATTAGTATCTGACAATTTAATATTAGTTTCACGATTCATTACCATTTTTTCAACTGAAGGTGGTAATAAAACACCCGCTAATATAGAAGGCATACTGCGTGTTTGTTTACCGATGTCCTTTCGTCTTTTTCTTTCTTCACCTTTTTTATAAACTTTCGGTTTACTTACATTTATATTCAAATGAACTCTCTGTATGTGCTTCCTTAGTGAAATTTTATACGGAAATGTTACTTTACACAAATCACACTCAAATTTAAGATTTTTATGTTTCGCTTTAATATGAACTTTCAATTGATTTAAAAGAGCATATGTTTTATGACAATCTTCGTAAGGACAAGATAAAAGTTTGCCTTCATGTGTTTTCAAATGCTTATTCAATTCCTGTTTTAGCAAAAATTTCTTGTTACATTTATCACAAGTATGCTCTGTAAAAAAAAAAAAATATTTATCTTCAAAGTTCAAATTTTATAATGCTTAATATTATTTACCTTTTGGGTGAGTCTTAGCATGTTGTCGAAATTCCATGTAAGTGTCGAATATCATTTTGCAATTTTCAACGGTGCACTCATATTTAACATCATGTGCCTTCTCATGTCTTTTTAATTTAAGAAGATTCTTAAACTCTCGGTCGCATTGATTACATTTAAATAACTTTCCATCGTGAAAACGATTCATATGCTCATCATACTTGTATTTTTTACGAAAAGATATGCCACATTCTTTGCAAGAAAGACGATCTTTGTTTTCGTGAGCACGCCGATGATGTTTTAGCAAATTGGTACGATTTTTCAACGTTAACTGACATATTCCACACCTATATAAAATTAACATGATTAAGATTGAATGATAATGAAATTTTTAGAATTTTTTTAACAAAATAAATCAGTAAAAAAATATGATACTAAAATTATTTGATGTTACAACAATTTTTGATTTTTTTTCAATAATTAAAAAATTAAAAAAATAAAAAAAAAATTGCACTTCTAATTTTTCAAATTTTTTAGATGTGAATTTTTTTTTTTAGTTATTTTTTCAAAAAAAAAAAAAAAAGCATTTATAAAAATTTTCAAATGTCGGCTTTCTTAATTTTTGCTAAAAAAATTTTTTTTTTATTGTATCTAAGGTAAAAAACCCCATTAGTGGCGGAGAACCCATTACTGACACTTTCTTTGATTTTGGTACTTATTAAATTAATGAAATCATTAATTTCAATAATGAATTTACTGTTTATAATCTTTAATTTAAGACCTTTAGGTCAAAAAAATTTTTAATTTGTATTCCAAGTTTTTTCGGGTTGCGGTCAACCAGTCAGATTGACAACATTCCGAATTATTAAAACTCTAGAAAATTTAAAATTCCGCTGCATTCAAAGTTTATAAAATACATTAGCTTAAATAGAATACCAGCCGAAAAACAATTTTGTAAATTATAAAACACCGAGTTATCGAATATAAGTTTTATATTCCTCAAGAGTTAAAATTAATTTGATTTCGAAAAAGGTTCGTTCCTACGTATATTCATCTGAATACTTATCTATACGAATAATGATTTGGCCGAAAATTACTCATCCAAGAAATTGGAAATTTTTCTTAGATGGTCCACCTTTACTAGCATGAAATTTGAGTGTTTTATATGCATGCTTGTAAATTAAAATAAAATTCATTTTAAAAAATTAATTAAAATAATTAATTTAAAAAAATTTCTAATCTAAATATAAAATTATATACATTTTTCGGCTAAATGAGTGTTCGTCTGTTCATTCATTTTGACGTACAAATTTTCGTTGTTATGTTTTTTAACTTATTGAGACTTTGTGACTTTGAAAGATTCTATTAATATAGCTTTAGTATTTTCTTTACTTAAGACTATATTTTTTGGAATTTTAAAATTTGTAAAATTAATTATTTTAAATTACATTTAATATTTACTTTCTAAGTTCTAGTAACTTATTAATTCGGAATGTTGTCAGTCTGACTAGTTGACTGCAACCCGTTTTTTCAATGAAAGAGAAAAAGTGCCACTAATGAGGTCTTTTACCGCATTTTTTTAAAATTTATCTTTAGAAAGCTCTAAAAAATTATAAATGCAATTTTTTTTCTAAATAATTTTCTAAGCCTAGTTTGTTTTTAAAGACAAATCAAAAAATTATCAACTCTTTGCTAATTTCAGTATAAGATCATCTTAAAATTATTGCATTAAAATTACATACAAATTAGCAGTAATTTGACTATTTTTTAATTTTATCTAACAAAAAAATTTGTTCGGAAAAACTATTTTTAAAAAATTGCATTTTTAATTTTATTTTCTCATTTTTCTTTTACCGTAATTAGTAATTAGTTTTAAAAATTCTTAAAAATATCAAATATCTGGTAAATTAATTTTCATTGGATTTTGCTTAGATACTCACACAACTGTTTCATGAACAGTTTCATGAACTTTTTGATGTCGTTTTAAATGAGACGAGTTTGTATATTCTTTATCGCAACCTTCGAAATTACATTTGTAAGGTTTCTGAAATATAAAATATTTAATAATTAATTATTGAATTATTTATAAAGGGTTTTCAATTAAAAATTATATTGGTATACTTACTGTTCCTGTATGTTTTCGAAGATGCCAAAGTAAACGAGATGGTTTGTTAAAAGATTTCTTACAACCAGGAACAGTACAATCGTGTGTTTTTTTATTTTTAGTTATAATACTCTCATCATTGTTAGCGACAATAGGTTCTAAATCCATTTCATCAATTTTGGATTTCATAGTCACACTTTCTGTTTCACTATCACTGGTTAATCCCATTTTTATTGAATATAATTTTCTTTAATTTAAAAGTTATTATAATAATTATTTTTTAATCCAAATTTTAGATAAATAAATAGCAATTTTTAATAAATGCAAAAAAAAGTGACCACGTGGTTATGATTTATTATTTTTAGAGGTTATTTTTATGAATATTAAACTCCAACTATATAAAAAAAACTCAACACTACACCGCGAGATAAATATATAAACAGCTGTGAAGCGCGATGTTGCAATTTTTACAATAAATAAATTACTACAAAGAAAACATAAAACATTTTTAAAAAAATTACATTAAAAAATTTTTGACACTTCTACAAGTGAAAAAAAAAATACTATTTTTATAATAATTTATTGGTTGAAAAAAATTTTTAGAAATCACAATATGTCAGCTAACTTCAGCATCATTCAATTCAACTTGTAGTAAAATTTAAATATCACTGCATGTTATGAGGGGGTCATCTGAGTGATCCGAACGGAAATTTAGCCAATGTAATAATTGTAAAGGAATTAAAACATTTAAATATCATATTTATGAAAAAAATTAAACTGTAACCCATGAAACATTACAAAAGAACGACAATTGATCTATCTTCCTAAGTCTTCTCTAAGTGTCATAAGTAAGAAATTAGTTGTCGGTAAGGTAAATTTTTTTAGGTAACTGGCGGTGAAGGAAATTTAAATTATATAATCTAAATTCAAACACAACCTTTTTATTCTAAATAAGAATAATTCTTCTTGAAAATATTTATTGTTTTTATTTATTAAAATATATAAATATTGATTACTAAAATAAAACAAAAAATCGCTTATTTAATGGGAAATTATTTATTTTTCTTTATAAAGTAATTTTTTTTTTTTAATTCTATAAAATATTAAAAACAAACTGTTCTTTAACTTGTTTCAGCTTAAACTATTATTTATTTATACACCGTCTCAACATTTATCAATAATTACGTTCTTGTCATATGAATACTATAAAACAAACAATTATTTTTTATATATACGTAATTAGAATAATATAAGAAGAAAAAATTATTAATTTAAATATAATTCGTTTAAACTTAGATTAAAGATAAAAAAATATAGGAATATCAGATATAATTAGAAAGTTAAAAAATATTAGAAAATTAAAAAAAAAAAAGATGTTTTTGTTCCTTTAATATCGATAAATTTTGAGAAAGTGTATAAATAAATAATAATTTAAGTTGAAACAAATAAAAAACAGTTTGATTTTAATATTTTATAGAATTAAAAAAAAAAAAAAAAATTACTTTATAAAGAAAAATAAATAATTTCCCATTAAATAAGCAATTTTTTGTTTTATTTTAGTAATCAATATTTAAATATTTTAATAAATAAAAACAATAAATATTTTCAAGAAGAATTATTCTTATTTAGAATAAAAAGGTTGTGTTTGAATTTAAATTATATAATTTAAATTTCCTCCACCGCCAGTTACCTAAAAAAATTTACCTCACCGACAACTAATTTCTTACTTATGACTTAAAAGACTTAGAAGACAGATCAATTGTCGTTCTTTTGTAATGTTACAGTTCATGGGTTACAGTTTAATTTTTTTCATAAATATGATATTTAAATGTTTTAATGTGTGTATTTTATCATATAGAATTTACTATTATTTGACATACATTAAGTGTTATGGATGAAGTATTAAATGTATATAACTTGTTAAAGAGCAAGTTACTTTTTGAATTCCTTGACAATAATTACATTGGCTACATTTCCGTTCGGATCACTCAGATAACCCCGGTCAACCAGTCAGATTGACAACATTCCGAATTATTAAAACTCTAGAAAATTTAAAATTCCGCTGCATTCAAAGTTTATAAAATACATTAGCTTAAATAGAATACCAGCCGAAAAACAATTTTGTAAATTATAAAACACCGAGTTATCGAATATAAGTAAATATAAGTTTTATATTCCTCAAGAGTTAAAATTAATTTGATTTCGAAAAAGGT